GATGGCAAAACAAAACAAATAAACAAAAACCAGTCTGTTATAAAACTGTTACAGATAGTCTATCAAGTAAATAATCCTCTAGTAAGCAATTCCAATCTCAGTGTATCTCTGTTTTTCTTTTAGTGTCTTATTAAAAAACACCAGAGAGAATTTCAGTAAGACAAGACAAAGCTTATGTCTTTAAATAATAAATACTTTTAAAAACTAGAATCAATTTTTTTGGTTTTTGGTTAAATTCGTTATAAATAAAATTAATCTGATAAAAAACAAGGGGGGATTGTAAAGTTAAATCTATACCATCAATTCTAATTTTTAGACTACAATTTAATCAAAAGAACAATCACTGTTAATTAAGGCATTAGTTGCTATTGGTTGCTCTGAAATTATTATAAATAAAATTAAATTAATCTGATAAAAACAATGGATAGACTATAAAGTTAAATCTATACCAAAAATTCTAATTTGGGGTCTACAGTTTAATCCAAAAAACGTTCATTGTGAATCAAGGAAAGCATGAGTTACTATTAATTGTTCTGAAATTGTATTACAGTAGTCTCCCCTTATCAGCAGTTTCACTTCCATAGCTCCAGTAACCTGTGGTCAACTGCAATCCAAAAACAGGTGAATACAGTATAGTAAGATATTTTGAGAGTGAGCAAGAAGAGCACATTCACACAACTTTTATGTATAGTTACAATTGTTCTACTACTGTTGTTGCTAATCTTTTACTATGCCTAACTTATAAATTAAACTGGATCATATGTATGTATGGTTAGAAAAAAATAAAGTATATATAGGGTTAAGTACTATCTGAGATTTCAGGTACCACTGGGGATCTGGAAACATATACCCCAAAAATAAAGATGGACTACTGTACTACAAATAAAAGATCTTGCCCTGTTGTCTCCAGACTTTCCATTAGGAGCTTAATCTATATTTTTAAAGATTTATCAACCATACATATTTATAAATTTTGTATTAATTAAATGCAATCTGATCCCTTGGACATCATGAAATACATTAAAGCCATCATCCTCAAAAGGTGCATGTACACAGTAAGATAATTACCAAGTCAATAGTTACTGAGTTGGTGTAGACAGTCAATAATCAGAGCTTTACAAATTAATACATAGGTCACATATTTCAAATACTTTTTGACAAACTTCCTAAAGAAAAATAAAAAATTCGCTAATCTAATCTCAACGCTCAGAGTTGAAACTGATAATCTATATAAGAACCACTCTTCCTCCTGAGAATGTGCATTAAAGATTAAAGGCCAAATCTGAATTCCTATCCCCTAAAATATTGCTCCAGGTTCTGATTTATATTCTAGAATGCATACATATATTCCATATATGCCATGGAAAATACCCTATCCAAATCTGCCCCTGAACATTAAATTTATTCTTTTAACTGGAATCTGGATAATCCCAGCTCTCTTAAATGCACAGCAAAGAAACAAACTAGGAAAAAAATATCAGAAAGACAGCAGATTTACACTTAATGCTACAATAAAGTGAAAAGACTGCCAACAGTATTTTGAGAGGGGGGAGAACCCTGAAGTAGGGTCAAATAATAAATTATTTCCACACTTGTGACCTAAATGTTTCATATAGCTAACCTAGGCTAATCACATAAAGAAAGAAAGAGCAGAAAAAAGACAAATTCTTTTAGCAAAATATGAGAAGTTTTTAAACATTATCACTAGACTATAAGGGGACTAGAGGAGTGCAGTCGTGCCACTGCATTCCAGCCTGGGTGACAGAGAGACACTATCTCTACAAAAATTTAAAAATAAATAAAAAATACATGAGGATTCAAAGTTTCTGAATTGTAGCAGGGAAAAGTCCAATTAAACAAACAAACAAAAAAAGAATGACCTCACACTGGTACAGTTTCATTCCTCAAAAATACAGGAATTAATGGAAGGTAGGAATACAAAATACAGTATTGTTTTCAAGATTTCTTCATGCCACTTTATAGGAATTCTCAATTTACTGCAGAAAACATTGCAGTAATTGGCATGACTAGGATTCAGTCAGCTCAGTACTTTATATTCAATGATGTTTTATAAGCAAGAACTTCTTCCACTTTGAAAACTATGCCTAAAAAGGAATTCTCTTTGAAGACTAAAGGAATTTAATTAAAGATAAAGCCACTTGGGTGGCTACATAACACATCAAACAGATCATACTTCAAGCAGAATTATTACTTTTCACTTGTAAGTGCATGACTCATAGGAATATAAATGAAGTCATTTTTTTCTGTGTGTATCAATTTGGATCCAAAAATCTACATGTAGAAGTACACTATCACATTCACTCGGTCTATATACTTTGGCTTCAATTCAATTTCACATGAATAAACACTGATTAATGACCTACTGCCGAATAAAAAATTGTTTAAATAACAATAACACACTTGAGAATTGTCTTGGACTGGAAACAAAGCCTCAATATTATATAAACAAAAGTTCATAAATATTTTTAAAATATTAACAAAGTCTCAATACTACTGAATTTTCACATCCATATAGAAATGTTTCTAGGAACCTGAAAATAACATTAAGTATTTAAAATTTCCATTATGAAGAGTCTTTGGATTTTTATCATAGACTATCTACTGGCAAGTTTAATAGTACCATTTTTATTAAATTTGCTGGGTGTTTATTTATCCCACATGATTAGGGAATAAGGAGTACAATTCAGTGAAAAGTCCCTATAAGACAACATTTAAAAGAAAAAGAAAGGTAGAAATCTCCTGGAAATTATGTATCTTCCTTGCCTTTCTAAATGAAACATACTAAAAGTAATGTAAGATTGTATTTATGATTCAGGGTCATCATGATGTAAATTATTCCATTAAAGTACTATAATGCAGTATCAGCTTTAAGGATAGAGATACAAGAGATATGCTTTAAAATTAGTAAATTAGTTGCTAATTGCCCAATAACTGTCACTCCTGTTGCAAGCAGCCCCAATCTTTTGTTTGTATCTTGATGAACCCAACCAGTAAACAACCCTAAGCACAACTCTATACCTGAAGAAAACAGCTCTCTGCCTCCTCCAACTACCATCTAATACTACATAGACAAAATAAGGGTATGGAGAGATTATTCGAATACATGAAAAACATCATGAAAACAAGGATTATGTAGTATTTATAAGATTTATGTGGTAGATTAAAGGGCATAACGGATGCTATCGGCAATAATAGGTGAGCTACCAAGAACAATCTCAATAATAAAGGAACTTTAGACAGTAGGCATCGTTTTTTGCCAAATACAGTAAAAGCTACAAGTGAAACTACATTGATCAGTGAAAGTTTATGTTCATTCCACAGAAGACAGATGAATGAGTAAAGGAAATGAAATAATCTAAGGTATCATGATAAATGGCATCAAAATTGGATGAAGCTCTCTGATAATGCAGCAGCTGGGCTATGAGAAGTTAATTGACCTTTTAGTAGACAACTGTGATCAGATCACTAAGGCCTCACCTGAATGAAAAAGTAGTAAAAGTTACGAATCCAACAGTAATAGTATACTACTAACAATGTACTAGTAAACTGAGTAAAACAAAAAGCAAAAGACAATTTCCTGACCTTCCGCAGACAAAAAAGATAAATATTAACCAACTGGCAAGTATTTATTGAGCACCCACTAAGTGATCTGCAGCATGTCAAACATGAAATATATTTCTTTCTCTCAAGCACTTATACAATAAGTTAAAAAATAAAATAGATACATCACAGATTAGAGTGAAAAATTTTAAATCCAAATTAAAGGAAGGTTTTTAGTTTTAAAGCCTAATACTAGGTGATAAAGACATAATGGGAGGCACACGCAAACCACTAGATCAGTGTATATCAATACAACATTCTGTAAAGTAATGTGGTGATGACACAAGAGCCTTAAAAAACACACATACAAACAAACAACAAAAACAGACTTTTGGGCCCAGTAATTCGTCTTCTACAAATCTAAGGGGGGGAAATTTCAAAGATTTATGTAAGAGGATATTGTCTGTAGTGAAATACACACTAGCAAAACCTGAAACATCTCACATATGTGCCAATAGAAAAAATTTAAAATACGATAGTTACCTGGTGAAATGTTAGGCAGCTATTAAAAATCTTTTTTCAAAGAATATTTAATGATATGGGAATGTCTGAGTTAAATGCAAATACCATATGATCTCAGTTTTAGGAAAAATACACATATATGCATACAGAAATACTTAAAGTACAAAATATTTTTATTTTTCTTATTTGCACTCATCTATTTTCCAAGTTACTTTATAATAAATAATATTTAACAAAATAATTGCTATTTGCAAATGCACATCATGAAACGAAATTAAAATGTAAATGTTGAAAGTCAATGTGAGAGAATTGGCCTGGATTAAGAAGTTTCACATAAAAAATTACTCCAGACAGTTTGCGGGAGAGAATAATCTACGTAGATTAAAACCATGAGGAAATGGTTGCAGACGCTGACACTGATCTGAATAAGTAGGTGGAAACTGAGGGAGAACCAAAGATAATAGTTACAATAGATTTTAAAGATAATCAAATATATTCTATTTCATGACTAATTCATTGTTTAATTTCCCCAACATGCGGGCTTTTAAAAAAAAGTTCTGTTATAAAAATAACACTACTTAGCAATTGGTAGAGATTAGGAATCACTTTTCCTAACCCAAGGGATTTCTTCTTTCTTACAATCTCTTAAGACAGAAACCATATTATGAAACTTTACAAAAAGGAAACAAATTTGACATCAGAGAGGTGACTAACCCAAAGAAATGGCTACTTATTAAGAACGGGAAAGGCAGAGACCACTCACTACTAAGCCTCTTTCTCAATACTGAATTATTTTTAGAGACACTTTTTCCTAGTCAGAAATTGGCAGTTTTGTCTGCAGTGCTCACAAACATTTCACTTGGGTTTTGTGGCTAACAAACCTGCCTCATCCAGCAATATTTAAAAATATTACTAACCCAAACTCAGATTAAGTTAAGCAAACTGGCTAAAGACGAAGGAAGTTTGTTTCTTAAACCTCGCCAGAACGTGACTGTCCTGAAGTTTGGGGAATCAAAAACGCAATGTGCTTACCACAGTTCAAACAAATAAACAAACAAACAAAAACGGACTCTCCCAGAGTAAGAAAACATTACAAGAACGTCCATCCAATGCCTGCCCTCCCGGCTGCAAAGCCAGGCTCTTTCTTTTCCTGCGGTTTCTGAAACGGCCAGGATACCGCCTGGTATTTCTTGCTACCAAACACCACGCAGTCTCACTTTTTCCAGCAAGACCGGTCCCTTCCTCAACACACCGAAGTGACACAAACTTGGAAGCACCATCCCTCAATAATGCGCTAGATTCTGCTCGATCCCATCTAACTCTAAAGCCCAAATCTACGTTTTCCTGAAAGTGTGAAATAAATAAAACAGGGGTCTCATCAAATCCAGCCTGCTCCGCCTCACAGCTGCCTCAAAAGAACCGTCGCCACACCCGCAATGGGTGAGGCTCAGCCGAAGAGGCAAGAGGCGGGTCCAGGAAACCACGTGTTCTGCCTTCTGCGCACGCGCCAGCCAAAACAAAAGGGAGGTCTGCCAAGCCCCACCCCCCACGTGACCGCCGTCTAGGTCCGCCCCCACCCCTCCCTAGACCCCTTCCCTCCCCAGCTGCCAAGGCTGTTAGGTTTAGCCGTTTAAATTTGGCTGCGGTCGGACCCCTGCCCTAGAGCGCGATCCCGTGCCGAGACCAGAGTCCAGCAGCCCAGAGGATTCGGGGGGCGAAGGGGCTGCCGGTCGGTCGCCTGACCCGCAAGTCCACCCGGCAGTCTTCTCCCCTCCCCGCGCTGCCGCCTTCCCCAAGAGGGGAGACCCACCCCCGTCATCCCGCCGCTGAGAC